CTGAACCAGAGTCTTACAATAATCGAGGTGATGTGTGTGCACCGTTGCAGAGTGCTCGCCTAAAATCTGTTTCTCTCCCATCTGCACGGCACTTACTGTAAGTGGTACATAGCCTGCACACACAGCCACATACTGTCAACAAGAGAAATGGGAGATTCTGCAGTCAAACAAAATCAGTGCTTAACAGAGCTTTGATTCAAAAGAAGAAAGAGCATTCTAGTCACACTTCCAGTTGCAATTGTAGTTCTGGTGGCTGTGAATCTTCTGGCAAATTACTTCATTAAGACTCTGCTTCTTTATTTTAAAAATTAAAATAATAATCTCTGCAAGATTTACATTGGAGAACTGATGTGAAAGTTTAGTGTAAAAAGATAATATAAAAACACTCTGGAAGTACAAAATACTCTGAGAGAACAAATTGAATATTTTAAGTGTGTGCAAATGTTCATGTAAGAATTTCTTAAGTGAAAATAAATACATTTCATTTAAATTGTGAGTGTATGTACCTATACTCTATATATCTAAAATATACAAGGGCTCTTTATAAAGCTCATGAAAAATACATATTATGAAAAATTGCATAGATTTCAGAAAACTTTAAATATATTTTAAATATAATTTCAGATTTACATATGATTGTATATCGTTGTGGGGTACAGTATAGTTTTTCAAAGCATGCACACATGTGTAATAATCAAATCAAGGTGAATAGATTGTGGAATGGTGTCCACAATAATAAAGAAGGATATTGCCTATCTCCTTTATATGCCTCCCCAGAAAATTAGTAGAATGAATATTGTAACTACACAACATGTCTTTGATGAAGATTTCAAATTTTTTTTCGCACCAAGATAAACTTGTATCTTAATTCCATTTTTCCATGAACTTTTTGAAGCCCCTTCATGTATGTGTACATATATAATATACAATATGTACATATATGCATACATTATGTATGTGTACATACATGTAGATATATTTAATGTGCATTCATATCATATATAATATATATGTACACATACAAACATGGAGAATTAGTGGAAAAGTGGAATTAAGGTGTGAAGTTTTTTTAATTGCCAAAGGGCATATGTGCTTGCCAGATGGAGACAGAGAGAGAGAGAGACAGAGAGAGAGAGGACACCTCCAGTGGGGTGTGGCCACAGTCCCTTCTTCTCTATGTCTCCATCCCATCAAGACTTAGTGCGCACAACACATGTACCAGCCATATTTTTAAAACTGTTGTGACTGGGATTCAAACCTTGGTTGGCCATGTTCCTTTAACCACTAGGTTGTAGGACCTGCCCAAGGTATGGGTATTTTAGTGCAAAGATACTTTAAAATCCTTGCGCAGTTTTTCAAAATAAGAATTGTCCGTAAATCTTGTTGAAGACCTCTTGTATATGCTCTCTCTGTATATACAAATATTTAAAACATAGTCTCTCTCTATATAGTGTATAAAACAGTGAACAGTGTGCATATACATAATAGGTACACTGTATTAGAGTATGTATATATACTGTGTTTGTCTAGTCTGTATATACATACACACTATATATATAATGTTTTAAATAGAGAGTATATATGCATACTAGACATACACAGTATATATATACACACACACATAAATATATTTATACGGTCATTGGAAAAGTGATGATGTATTTTTCCATTTTTCTATGTGAAAATGCATCTTGCCTTTTCTATTGACTATTATTTAACTTGCTTTAAATGCCTGCATTTCTGTACAAGAATTTGAAATTGAGACTATATGTATATACACACACACACACACACACACACACACACAATTTATGTAATCTCTTAAGTGTAGGCTAGCAAATGAATGACTCTTATCAGTTAGGTTTCTAAAGTACAATATATAATGCCAGTTCTCCTAAGAATGAAGAACTGGTGCTCAAATTCTTTGTGAAATGAAGCCAGTAGAGAACATTCTATTCAACTTTATTAAGAAAAATCACAAAACACATGTGATAGCATTTAGAGCCTAGAGCCCAGAAGGCACCTTATTCCCAGGGTATGGTAGGGAGAACAGACTTCTTTTATGCTCTACCACTTTCTGAGGGACAAGAAGATAAAAATAAATTCTAGTTCTTGGTGGAAAGAAACATATCGTTTATTGGTTGAAAGCACAGCTCTTGCAATCAAGAAGACCTGAAGCGAACCCTGATCCTCTTTAGCTGTGTGACCTTGGCCAAGTTACCACCTTCCTGCACTTATTTTTGCCTCTGTGAAGTAAGGGTGATAAAATATGGACCTCCCTGGTTAAAGTTCAGTATTAAATTGCCATCATCCTGTAAACTGGCATCCTGCCAAGGCAAATGAACTTAATGCAAAGGCTGAAAATGCTATCAAGGGAGGGATATAGATGAGGATAGTTTGGTCCATATTCCCAAAGGGACCCGAGAGTCAAAGCAAAGCTGTACCTTCCCTCTCTTCTTGAATCGTTTCCGCTCTT